TTTCTATGCATGATTTTGCCTTTTGGGATTTGGATTATGGACCCCACATATGGGTGGTTGTTAAAATTATGGTCCCTTTCGGATCCCTATTTTAATGTGGCGCCCAATATTTAGGCTACCCAAAAAGGGACAATAATTTTGACAACCACCCATATACTAGCTGCCTCGCGTTTAAGGTTCTGAGGAAAAATGTTCGACACGCATCGCACAAGTCTGGGACCTCCTGTGCTGTGCCAGGTGACTAGTCTTGCTATTGCTATTATTATCATCATTATCATTATTAGTCTTATCATTATGACAAAGATTCAGATTATCGCCGTTGTTACTACGTACTGTTATTAGTACTACTATGATAAGTATTCGGTATTCGTCTAATTTGTTCGATAAGCGCGACTGTTGAGCCTAGGCTCCTGACAGGCACCTGCATTTCAACTTCGTATTCACTGCACCGCCACACGCAGCATGATCCAATCCTCCTAAAACCCCCCCCCCACCCTCAATACACGATTCCCCCTTTATGACGTTATGATGCTGTTTTGACTGTTGCTATCATTGTGGGCATGTTCTGGGCGAGGAGACTAAGTAGTCACCCAAAAATGATACCGCGTGCCATAGCCTTGCAGTCGCTAAGTCCTTGTCCCTACCCCCCGCCGCAAAAGCAACAAATTGTCCCTTATAAACTTGGGCTACCATGGAGAATGCATAGGAAGCAATTTGACTGCTGACGAGAGGTCTGAGCCCCCCGCCCAGGAGCTTGCCTTCCGAAGGCCGCAAAAGAGTAGGTCACAGTCAAAGCGATTGGGTTCCTTCAGCTGCACCCATTGGAAATTGCGAATCAGGCTATTGAGGCCTGGAACGGTAATTTTAACTTTTAACATATCCAAAGTACATACACCCCTCATTGGCATGCCCAAAATCTGCAACAGAAGATGGCAAGTTTCTATATAGGTTTCCTGGTACATGGCATCTTCAGGCTAAGCGATCAAAGCTTCGGGTGCTGATGCGAATGCTGAGGATGTCTCTATGACCAGTGTCCCATACTCTGCCATAACTTCGGCAAGCTTCTCAAGTGACTCGACCCTGCTACCAAAAGGAGGAATCCCGAAAAAGAGCACGCCAATGGTGAGAGGCCAAGGGCACCTTACATAGGGGTTCCTCAGCCGACCATTCTGCGATTTTCAGGATATGCGTGTTCCTTGCCCTTTTTCACTGAGAACTGACTTCTGCTTGCTCTTTTACCACGGCCGTATCTGCTAAGATACCGGCCGGCCATTGTAATTTCCTTAAAGCCGCAACCCTAGACCCTGAACTAACCCTAAACTCTGTGCAGAAACAGTAACTGCAGCATGAACTCAATCCAACTCATCCCTTGTCGCTTGCATTGCCTGGTGCAGTCAAAGTAGCATCTTTGCGCCTCAAAGCCGTGGAGTCTCAACCCCCCAACATAGGGGGCTTTACATGGGTTACTTGGGGGCTCTACAGGGTTTAAAAGAGCTGTTCTATAAGAGTCATAAAGAGATATTCCCAAACCAACTAGCCTCTCAAAACTGATCCTACTCATCCCACTGGTCCTTCAACCTGCAAACTGCCAGAAACAGCCTGAATCCGAATCAAGCTCATGGACCGAAGCACCATAAACAAATCTACAATCTACAAACTTACTGTTAAGCCTCTTCACGTTTCTATGGGACGTTCTGCCAAGCGTCTCCGTCACGTTGAGATCCTCACCACAGATTGGGCTGGACTACATCGGCTTCATCTATGTACCAAGCTTCTTCTTCTCCTAAAAAATCAGATCACGTCTTTTCATCACGTCAAGTTTGCTTCTAGTACGATCTACCTGATTGTTTTCGTGAAGCTCGGCCTCTGAACCCTGCCAAGAAACCCATGCTTTTTGTACGCCAAGCCCTGAATCCCAAATCCCACAGCCCTTTTACAACTGGACTGACTGAGCCCCAAACCCTGAATACACAATCCACAACGCTAGTTTCCATGTTCTTTTCCATGGTCTCCGTAAAATCTATATGAGCTATAGTCTAAAACTCCTTAAAAGGGGCTTATGTAGGGGAGTATTCTAGGGGTTGTCAAGGGGGATACTAGGAGTTTAGACTACAGCTCATATATCCCCAGTGTCCGTTTGATTTTCCATTGTGTTTTCCATTTGATCCCTAAACTTTAAACCCTAAATAGCAGTTTCCATTCTCTTTCCCATTCTCCTTACAACGCTATGAACCACCTACTGCTCATTTTCCCAGTTTTGGGAAACCCCATACGAGCTTAAATCTACACTCCTAATATCCCCTTTAATTACCCCTGTAGTAATCGATTATATAATATTATCCCCTATATAACCCCTTACCCTGAACTCTAAACCTTATATACTCCCCTATAATCCCCCTTGAAGGAGTTTAGATTATAGCTCATATGGTAGTTTCTCTCACTAGGAGGACCCCAATGTAGACGTCCTCACCACCCACAAAAAAGTACCTCTGATTTGGGAAACCCCATAAATCCCTGAACCCTGAGACTGCCTTCTCCGCCTGCAGGATGGCATCTAAGCTCGTAACCATGGCACGACATACCTTGGGTTAAGGGTATGGGGGGCTTAAGGTTTAGGAGGTTTTGGGGATCTGGGGTTTAGGGAGCCTTAGGAGGTTTAGGGGGTTGGGGTCTAGGGCGGGGCTGAGAGGTCAACCCGCCGAAAAATGCCACATGAGCTACTGTCGAAATTCCATACCTGGCTGATGGACATGGGCTTGGGGTTATCGTTTTTAATTGTCTCCCCTATCGTTGTTCAGCATTTTCGCCTTTTTCATCAAAATGCCTAATTAACACGTCTTAAGCAGCACGGCTCGCTGCATAATGTTTTTTTTGTCTCCCCTATTGTTCTACAGGGTTTGCAGCGTCAGCCACTAAAGACATGTCCACCCTGGACATTATCTAAAGACACGTCATGTAGCAGTAGCAATGGGATCATGTTTGGGGGTTCCAGGTTTTGGGATCCTGGAGTGTCAACAGGTTTGGAGAATTCGGGGTTAAAGGATTCTAGTCATTCTAGTGCGGGACCTGGCCTGTGGCTTTCTCTCAGGATTGTGGGGGTTGTGGCAAGGCGATCAGGATTCTATTTTTGTGTGTTTTCTTGGGGTTGGGGCTTAGGGTCTGCAACTGGACTTGGACTGCACCTCCATCCTCCATGAAGTTCCTTTCCAGGCATGATCCAGCAGGCCATGCAGATGAGGCTACAGGCGAATGCCGCGATGCAACCCCCACTTCCTTCACCGGGTCCACATGGAGATTGCCGAGTGCCCAGGCCTCTACTATAGAACAAGACGCACGAATCAGGCCAAGCTGCGTTGTTTCGAGGGTGAACCTTCGCAAGGTGGGAGCAGCTGCTTTAGCAAGTACCACAACAGCCTGTGCATTCCGGCTTTAACATCCCTTCCTAGGACTGATGAGAATGTCACGAAACAATCCTAAAACTGCATGCAGTCCAGTATGTAAGCAGGGTCCTAAAGCTTCAAACCGGGAAAAATTCGCAGCTCACTCGCTTCAAGCGCGCAAGCCCCACTTACATCTTGCCTGCATATCTGAAGCCCTCAGGAGTGATGTGCCATTTGGCTAGAAATCCATCTGAAAGCCTCTATGCTGATGACTATGTTTTTGGGCGGGTAAGGGGGGCAACATTGTTGGAAAGACCCTACCTGTTTCGACCATCATTCTGGCTCTCATTAAGAGGCACGAGCACCGCTGCCCATTTGGAATTCTACTACCAGTTAAACCAACTCCTCCGCCGCCATTAACACCATGATGCGGATGGTCATGGCTAGGGAAGCACGAGCTCAAAAGCAGCCCCGATGCCCAAATCTCATACAGTGACCTTGTGCACAAAAACCCAAGCGTTTTCAACCTGGAAGTCTAAGCTCCCCCAAACTGGGTCAATCCTTCACCCAGTAATGGGTACCACCAGGGACTACTGTAGGTATATTGAAGCCGTACTAAACCCAAATCTAAGGAATGTTACACCTAAGCATCAAATCAAAGTCCGGAATGCTGCCAACCCAAGCAACCCTACAGCTCTCAAACCTCGAGCCCCCTCAGCACTGCAACCCTAAGCCCTTTTTCCAGCTCTGCTCAATGCGCGAACCCCAAAACCTACAAGCCCTTAACCCTGACCCCCAAATCCTAAACCCTAAGCCCTAAGCCCTGAAATCAGGCTCTAAACCCAACCCCAAACCCCAAACCCCAAGTCCTGCCCCGAAGCCCTAAACCACATATCAGTCTCTAACCCTAAATTAGGGCCCCCAAACCCCATACCCTAAATCCTACGCTCTCAACCTTGAACCCCAAACCCTCGGAAGCCTTGAGATCTGGCTCATTGCTGATGATGAGAGCTTTCAAGGCCGGGTGGTACATGGTGTAGTTCCTTTCTCTTACTGGTGCTTAAGGAGGGGTAAAGGAGGAAATGCAACTACAAACACGAGAAAGGTCGTGTGTACATATGTACATATGTGTGTGTATGTCTACACACAGAAATTTGTGGAAGTCTTGTTTACAGTTATCCTTTTCGAAGGCAGACTAGTTTGGCGGCGGCTGCTGTGGGTTCGAATCCAATGGACAAGATCATCCTCCGAAATGCTCGTAAGAGAATGCACTTGTCTTGACTCTGCCCGGAGTATTGCGTATAATAACCCCAAAGCCAAACCATCCGCAGTTTGAGGCTCCTACCCCAGCCATCGCAATATAGACAAGACTGTTCAACTGAATGTACTTGATCTGACCCCGTTGCCGCTAAGGAGCCAGAGCCGAGCGTGTGAATCAGAATCCTTTTGAGATCTCCGGAACAAGTCTCAAATCCTCATCTCGGAGATCTATGACTATGAGACGGGTACACACACAATAAGTTCACAAGAATACCTTTGCTGGGGGGAGAATACTGACGATCATATTTCTGGATATTTCTGGGAACCCATGGGCACATTGCTGTGAGGCTTGTGCTCAACTCAGCTGCCCTCCCTGATTTCCTCTTCAGCCAACTCTTGGGCATCAAGTGATTCGAAGCCGCCGCGGCTCAGCCGTTCCTGAAGGACGGAGAAGATGGCACGCCTGGTTTCTGCACTGATGCCCTCAGCCCGCCGGATGCTCACCACAGCAGACACCGCACGGATCTCCACAGCCGGAAGGTCAGAGTCCAGAACCGCATGCAACAAGCCCTGGAGACATTGCTGGCACTCGGCAATACGCACCGCGACCTCATCATGACCAGCAAGAATGGCCAGCGCTCCGGTGGCAGCACTTTGCTGCAGTTCCAACTCCGAAGTGCAGAAGGCCCCAAAGATGTTGAGCTCATTCTCAGCCCTTCCAAGTGCAAAGCGCTCAGCCACCTCCTCGGCCATGGTCATGTTGCATAAGGCCTCCAGGCCGGCCCGTTGCACCT